TTCTGTTGAAATTAACTTTGGATTATATAATGATACTAATAATTTTGTATAGTGTTTCTTCTGTCGTGTAAAAGAGTTTTTCCCTTTTCACCTTCCAACCTTGCAACTGTATATTGTTGGCAAAATAAAGAAATTTGTTATTATTAACTTAGTGAACACCCCTCGTCTCATGCTCGACAGCTCCAGACTCGGTGGCGCTAATTTTCTACTGCGGATGTGCGTAAAACGGTGATTATAGCGCTATCATTTGGTGCACGTGAGCATACAGTTATTATAATGTACGCTAGAGGTTCAACTGGTACTAGTGTGCTGCTGAAAAAAATTGGGTTGTGTGTATGTTTATACAGCCTAGAACTTGTTCTGCCTCAGCGGGCGACGGGTCTCCCAGCTGTAGATGAGCAATTTAGCCAGTGCAGTACAACCGCTAGGCTGGGGTATTTGAGGTGCATCACGCAGTCCTTCAACTCCTTCAGAAAATTAAAAATCCCGATTTAACCCAATGTAAGAAAAGGGACCGAAACCAGAGGCCAGCGGTTGTGCCTTATATTCAGCATATTTCTCATGGTCTTTAAACGATACAACCGCGTAAACGTCAAGGTAGTATTCTTTGCTCAATACACGCTCTCTAGTTTATGTAAAAAAGTCAATTCATCGTGCGATAGAACCTTAGGTTGTATAAAAGAGCATCACACCCGCTTTGTTCCGTGCTCTGAAGGGGTGGTTTATGCAATTCCCCTCTCATACGGTAAACAGTACGTCGGGCGAACCGGGAGGTGTCTGAATGACCGGTTACGAGATCATCACTATAACATAAACAGAGTAATATCAGGGAATCTAGGCATCCATTGCCGGGATTGCGGGTGTTCAGCGGACTTGAGTAACTGCGCTGTTATTGCCCGAAGTGGCAATCAGCTGACACGAGAAGTTATCCAAGCTGAAAAAATAGCCAGGTTGGACAAGCAATGCGTCAGTGTTCCATTCCTAGCTTTATAAAAGAAAAAGATTCAATTATCTTGAAGTAACATCAAAGCACCAATAGTGATGGGGATTTTTTATTTTATTTTTAGTTTTTTAAATTTTATCTTTTTTAATTTGTTTTCGTTTATATTTTAATTTATTTTAAATTTAATTTTTAGTTGTAATTAATTAATTAATTTATTTATTTATGTTTATTGGCTATTTGGTTTCTGGTGTTTAAAAATTTTAAATGTTCTCACTAACGGCGAAGGAGAAGAAGTTGACGATTTGAGGAAGAAGAAATATAGGACTGAGTTGTTAGTCAGCGCTGCGACTCTGTTTCCTTCTTGTGTGCCTTTGAGTGTGACTCTATATCTGCGCTGTTCCATCCAAGTATGAATTATGAACTAGCCCACGCATCCACATTATCGAGTGAATTTTTTTTCTTGCGCTCGATTATAACAGCAAATATCCCGAATAATTCGTACGTACATACTAGGTAGCTTGGAACATTTCTCAGTCATTCAGATGAAATAAATCGTCAGTTACGACGTTTTTATTTCAATTTAATTACATTAAAAACGGTGCTAAAACGGCTTCGTACATGTATTTATGTGCACTTGCGGACAGTGTTAGCGCGAACACGGCGTCAGCGCTTTCCAGCATGGGGGATATACGTGCCAAACGAACGAAGGACATCTGGAAAACTAAGACGGCAAGAACTACGCAGTAACATGTACGACCAGAATAAATGAAAGGCCAGGTAATATAGTCAGATTTTCAATAAGTACTGCTTTATTCTTTCTGCTCGGTGCGAATATGCTTGTTCTACGTTCAAAACATCACCCGCACGCTCGAATGCCCGATGAAGACTGCCCAGCAGAGAAAATATTAGAAAGAGACGCCTTTCATACACCACGTACTTTGTTCTTTACTTTTTAAATGTTTTTAACGCTCCTAAAGATGCAAGAAGGGCTCATTTTTATATAGTAACAAGAGTGGCATATTATTAATATATAAGCGTCACCGGGAGTCTGGCGAGCCTTGAACACACTTCCTTTCGATTGTTGTTTTGCTTAGAATCGTCGCTTGTTTTTACACACCTGCTGTGGAACAGAGGTTTAGGCTTGAAATATAGCGAAGTTAAACATCGTTCATCGATGAAGAAAAATACGCTAACTATAACAAAAGTGTTCCATGTTATTTTCCGGTGAAGAGTCAAAATGCACGCGCGTTTTTCCATAGGAATGCACAGGAGCACCGCGAAAGTAGACTGGTTGCTCTCTGCTACAATTTGCCTCCCGGAAGTCGCATAGACACTAGCGCCAGTTGAACCTCTAGCGTACATTATAATAACTCTATGCGCGTGAGCGTTCGTTCTTTCAAAATAGGACGCAATAGGATGCGTGTTTGCATTTCGCGTTCTTCCTCGGGATCATGTCGCGTGTCGTCAAATATGGCGTATAAAACGATTTTTGACAAGCAAAACTGTGTGGCGACCTCACGCGGCCGTGCCTCCCACGCAATTTGCGAGCGGCAGGCAGAGCCCGCATGCACCACCTGGCTCTCTGGCATTTCATGCCCTCCCCGCACAGTCATGTTACCAACTGTAGGGACATGTCCCTAGACGTAGGGATGCGATATTTTGGTCCAGGAGCGACGTAGAAACGCCCTGTCATGTTTACTGGAAAACCTAGGGGCTTTTACAGCTTCTGTAAATTTTATATTTTTATTTTCAGAAATTGTGTTAAACACAAACTAACTTTTTTTTTTTCAGTTTCTTTAGTATTTATTTGCCATCAACTACGTTATATACGTAAAAAAAAAAAATCTCTTGGCGCCGCAACGACGCTTCCGTCAACACTGTTCCACACAGAGCAGCTGCCGCGTCGCGCTTCTCGACCCAGATGGGTATGCGTACAGCACAGTTGGATATACGCATCGCACAGCACATTGTGAAACGGTTATTCAGGTGTTTTACCTGGGAGGTTTTGCGACGCTCGCGCAACTCCGTGAGGCAGAGACGCCCCGATTCGTGCGAAAGGGGGAGGGGTGGTTCCATCACGACAATGCCCCAGCAAACACTGTCCTGTCAGTGCAACAATTTTTGAACAGAAATGTTCATGACACCGCTTCACCGGACCTCGCCCCATGTTTGACTCTCGTCTGCTCGCGCGTATGACCAAAATAATTCCTGAAAGGAAAACTCTTCGTGGATGTGAAAGGTCCTTTAAGTTAGACGTTGCAAAAAACGAGAAATTATTTGGAAGAAGTTTTGGAAAAAAATTCACAACATGTCGCTAGAAGTTTAGCAGACGACGCCTGTCGGCAAACTGACCCGAGAGGCGTGCCGCTAAGGGCTGCTAGCAGCGACAGCTGGTTCTACGAACAGCCCGCACTCTAGAGATTCATTCCGGTTACTTATGGGTTCCCCCTCGTACACTGACCGTACGAAAGTGATTGCAGAATCCGACTGTACGTGAGAAAAAAAATATTTAAAAAACTAATGAAACAAAAAGGTTGTTACAACATATTTGATGCATTAAATACTACGTGTACAATCCACGCTTCAAGAACTTATATAAAAGTATATTGGCATGAGAGCACGACCATACGACAGGCAACCCAAAAGACAGGCACTCAAGCTCGAAAACTATCATGGAGATTGAAGGCAGGAAAACGTTCTTTATATTGCGCCTGTAGAAAATAATTCGCACAGCCTTGGCTTTGCCAGAACTGAAATGATTAACATCATTAAAAATAGTAGCAAAACAACAAATCTGTATTTTAAAAGAGGCTTAATTATGCATTAATATTTCGCAGGCGGTGGATGGGAAGTTATACGTTACCTTCATTTAAACTTTGTGGGTTTCCCCTTTTATGGGGGTACCACTTAGAAACACAGAAGGTTCCTTGGGTACGGATAAAGACGTGTTTATTTGACTTAGATGCCACACGCTTGCCCGAAGGCCAACAATGTTGGAGATGACGGCGCTGCCGCTATTGACAGTATCACGGAGGGTGAGGATCAGATAAGGATATGAAGGCTCCGTCGAGCAGAGCCTCCCCCAGCGAGAGTCCCGCACGTTGGATTAGGGCCGTCTTATATAGCCTGCGGGAATGGACGCGCCCGGGAAGGGTCGGATGTAGGTGGCTCCCCGGAGGGGCGGACGCGTCCAAGTCATGATCCCGAAGGGTATGCCTTAGGCAAATCACCCGAGAAGGGCGAGCGTCGAGCGAAAGCCGTCCACCAGGGAATACGGCTTCGCCCTTGCATCCGGGACGCGCCCCCACGTGGCGACGCCCCACGGCCTGCCTGAGCTAGGCCTATAGATAGGGGTGCGGGGAACATGTGGTTCCCACAACTTACCTCGTCAATGCCATAGCGAAAGCAAAAGGCGATTTTTTTATTTGTAAGTTTACCCAGAAAGGTTTTGCAAGATTGAGCGCGTAACTAAAGTATTACACATAAACAAAACAAAACAAACAAACAAACAAAAAACCTAAAAGAAATTATTAAAAAAACTGACGCATATTTGGATCTGGCCAAGAATTGTGGTTTATTTGCCTATTTTCTCTCAATGCATTAGCAGACAAGGTATTAAAATGTCTAATTGAATAAATATTCCACTAGTAGTTGCGTGTAGTTGCACGCATGAAGCTTGCGCGTTGTTGTTTTCATGATGTAGACTTTTTTTGTGTTTGTGGGTAGGGACTCGCGTAGAGATTTTTTGGGGCAAATGTAGGGACATGTGGTTTTTTTTTTAAAAGTGACTGGGGATTCGAGCGAAAAACACTTGCGAACACTGCTGTAGATTGCCTTTACTGTCATGAGGTTAGCATACGTAGCTACAGCTGTGTCCTGCTTTCGTCTAGTACGATAGACACTAGGCTTATCTGAAATGAGACCTACACGAAGACCGATCGTGCTTGTGACGCACCCGGATATTCCTACCGAAGCCATTAAACTTCTCGCAGAGAGGTGACTGGACTATGTTCGAAGAGGCGACGCGCTTCTAATGCAGTTCTTGTGTTTCATTCAGGTGCGACATAGACGTACAGAACGAGCCGATTCCGCGGTCGCTGCTCCTTCAAAAGATAGTCGGCAAAGATGCTTTATTTTGCCTGCGCACGGATAAGGTGGACGCGCAACTCTTGGATGCCGCTGGTAAACTACTCCAACTTTATCTTTCGTGTTGCTTAAGCGCTAACAGTTAAAACATGTAAGTGCACCAATATTTTCCAGGTCCAGCTCTCAAGGTAGTGGGGACCATGTCGGTTGGATACGACCACATCGATGTGGATGAATGCCAAAAAAGGTGAACACAGCGCTACAGACAGACATTGGTCGTCTTGTTTGTGGGTGCGCCAGATTTCGGCCATCTGTATGCACACTGCAGAGGAAGCTGGTGATATATTGAAAACTGTTTTGTAGTTCGCCAATGGGCCTTCTTCCAGTAGGCCTTTGCGTATGCGCTCACCCTCGTTCCTGACCCTTGCTTCCCGCTTTCGCCATTTTCGGAGGACAATCTCGCACGATCAACAGTGTGAGCACTTACCTTAGCACGTAATTAGTTTTCTAATGATTCTTATTTTTTTTTTTAGCATCGTTAGAATAGATTGTAAATAGCAATGTAAACCGAAACAACTGCATGACGGCAAAGTGTTCTGACTGGCGCAGGCATGCTAAGCTGCCCTTCCTTTGTGGTTTGCAGACAGCCCCAAAAACGACGGGTTACTTTAAAGGAAAAAAAAACAACAACAACAAATGTCGATTTGCTGTGCTTTTCTAAGCTTGTCATACAATATACGTAGCCATTCCACCCCTGATTCTGACTGGAATAATTTGCTGTTGACTGTGTGCATTGCAGACGGATTTCAGTAGGTAATACGCCGCACGAGCTGACAGATTCAACGGCTGAGCTGGGAATAGCCCTGCTTTTGGCGACGCGCAGACGACTTTTTGAGGCCCGCAGTCAGATCGACAGGTACTGTTTTGACTGTATACGGTAGAAAGAGGGGCACTCTTACTCATCTCTTCTATATTTGTTCCTAGCGGAGCGTGGGCAGCACAGACCTCCTGGAGCCCAATGTGGATGTGTGGCTCGGAAATCCGGGGAACTACGGTCGGGTTTGTGGGCATGGGAAACATAGGCAAGTTTGGCAGCCATTCTCGTGTTCCTCGAACTAAGTTAGCTTTCACCGACGCTTCACGGTGACCAGTCTTACTGGGTTCGTATATAAGTTTTTACGGAGAAAGGCAGATTCGGGGGGTTTTACGGGTCAAACCAACGATTCGGATCTGGCCCGAGCTTGCAAATGACTAAGGATTAATTTTGACTACCTGGGCGCCTTTTGACGTGGAGACAGAAGTTCGGCCACGCGGCACCTTCTGCTATAAACCATCAAGGTCTGGGCACCTCAGCTGGGATTCGCACATAGAAAAAGTTCCGCAGGTCGGAGCTTTGCGTCGGAGCTGCCGTGGCGGCTTCTTTTTATTGTTGGAATGTGTTTCATAATAGTGTTATCCAATGCTGCTCTGTTTGCACTGGCGACAAGTCTTCTGAGTTTTCTTTTTATATAATTTTCAGCAGACAGACAGCTTATTTTAGGAACATAAATAGTGAGCAGCGATATAAGGAATTGACGTCAACTCTGCCATGGTGCGTGTTTGTTATCGCAGACATGCACTCACGTATGGAGGCTGATAAGAAGGGTTGGTGCACCCATTCCCCACTGACAGGAAAAAGTGTGATACAAGCATAATGTGCTGGTGTGAGATAGGTTGCACCGGAGGACATGAGAAACTTCCCGAATAAATCAGAGAACTTGCACATACTACAAAGATCACTAGATGTGGATACGCAAGAAAGAAATAATCCAAAGGAGGAAGAAAGGGTGACAGCATGTGTGGATGGCAAATGGTAGCTAGAGCAACCGTAGAAGCAGAAAAAATTCAGCACTCTTTGAGAGCAAGGTCACTTCCATCCCACGTTTTGCTACATGACAGGGGTCACTCCCCTAATGTTAGTAATGTTCTCTTCCCAAAATTGACTTCACTTCAGTCATAAATCTGCCTTTTCCTAATATTACAGCTTCTCTTCAGCGCTCCTAAGAGCATAAATGAGCAAATGCCAGGCTGCGCACATTGGTGCTACATATCACTTTGAATTTCATTGCGCCTGACCATGCTGTCACTAACATTGCGCTTCTCATTTCCGTCAGGGTTATAAGCTCAATTTAGTGCAGTGCGGTTTATGTTTCGTTTGCGCCTGACCATGCTGTCACTAACATTGCGCTTCTTATTTCCGTCAGGGTTATAAGCTCAATTTAGTGCAGTGCGGTTTATGTTTCGTTTGTGCCTTCAAACTCTTATTCTTTGTCATGTAGTACTTAAACATGCCTTCATATTTTCTAAGAACTGAAGTTCGCTAATGCAAGGTACATGTTCGGGAGATGTTCATCTAACTTCAAGCGTTAATTATATTATTGTAAAAATCCGCTAAAATTGTTATAGGATAACATAAATAACACTTACTTGCAAATAATAAAAAAGGCTAATAGCTTTAAATGAAAAAAAAAGGATGTTTTGAAGAACCTAAGGCTTATAAACAACAAAACGGAGGTTAAGCTATTGGCTCTTAAATCCTATTTGAGTTACCCCCATTTTTTGCAACATGATCCACAAACTCAGCTTCCAAGTTAATTTCATGCACACCCTATGGGGTGGTATTTTATCTAATAAATGTAAAATTGGATCTATATTTGTAGGAAACATTTTATTTAAAACTAAACTATCTGTACTATGCACCAGAAGAAATGTTATACAGACAGCACATGGAATATTCTGATCACTACAAATAATAGTGCCTTACAAAAAATAAACAACATTTTTAAGTACTCTTATATAACATAACATCGGTAGCTTTATCACTCTACTTGACTGTTTAGGCCAGGGGTCTCCAAACGTTTTGGCTAAGGGGCCGGATTAGGCATCTCTCCCAGTCTCGAGGGCTGGGAGGAGAGAGAGGGTAATTATAAACGAGTTACGACCAGTTGAATAAAAGGCAATAATTTAGAAACAGAAATGAATGTTAGAGTCAGTATTAAACGAAACTAAAGTTGAATGAAAACATACTTTTAAATATGAAAGTTAATATTTAGCTAATTATGACTTTTCACAACAGCTGCGACCACGAAAACTCACCAGGCATATATGAAAGTGCATGGATACTTCGGCACAATCGCGCACTGCAAAGATATATGACAATGATAAAACTAATGCGGACATGATGTACATGAAAACGCGAAGCAATTTTAGCATAATTAGACACACATAATGTCAGGGACTAGGATGGTGATGCTGGTGATGACAATGTTCAGTCATGGCGAGAGAACCCCAATACGATGCAGTTTTTCCTCGTTCTTTCTGGTATCTTCTTATCGCATTTCGGGCGCGTCGCGGCTCCGTTTCATTAGGCGCACATCTTTAGGCGCCGGTAGCAGTTGGTCTGCTGGAAGCGGGCAGCGGGCCGCGGGCCGATCGGAAGACCCCTGCGGGCCGGATCTGGCCCGCCGGCAGGGGTTTGAAGACTCCTTGTTAAGACTAATCAGGAACACGTTTTGGTACAGTGACGAGGTAATTTATTTAGTAATGTGCAGCTTTTTATCAAGATATGAAGAAAATTATTTACGAATAATTAGCCCCCTGTGGAGCCCGCCGTATTTTTAATAGATGAACTAAGCAGGCAACTTTATTATTTTACAATTACAGTGATATTCCAAAAAGGAAATCACAATGAATTGGCTTCCCTTGGTTTTGGGTTAATTTTTTTGCAGTTGACAAAAGTTTTAAAACAGTATCCGGCCTTAGAAAGGTTGTCCTTGTCAAACAGCTTTATGCGACAAAATTAGCAATGAAGGACTGTTTCTTGGGTACCTAGCTTTAAATGATGTAGGAACAAACATAGTTGTTCGTTTGGAATTAAAATAATATAAAATTTAGGGCCGGGTCTACAGCAGCTAATGTATGCAGGAGGGGGTGAGGATCCGAGATGAGCATTTTTACAAGTTTTTCGGGTTTAACACTGACCGTTTGCTCACCCTTTCTTTTAATTAATTTGCTCTCTATGGCAGGTAAGCTATCTGTTGGAATATTGCGGTAACAGAATGGGACCACCACCACGCATTTTAAAATAATTAGAATTGCATTTAAATATGGTGACAGCATACACAAATATATTTCAAAATTTTATTGAGTTTATGTATACAGGGTGAAACAAGGAGACGCCAGGCTCTTTAAATCGACCGGAAAATTCGGTTTCTTAACCTATCGCGCTACGACTTTGTGCAGCGTTGCCGACAGATGGTGCATTTGTTTTGTAAAATTTGCAAATAGCGAGCTTACCTGAGGAAAAAGTAAACAAAGAAAAAGGCTTAGCTCCTATGGAAACGCAGCGACGCCACCGGTCTGCAAACAACACGGCGCCGTTTCGCACGGGAGACAATAGATGGCGCAACAAACGCCGCCAACGAACGAGCATACGGCGTCGAGAGCAGGCCTTTTTATCAGACGATCTTGTCGACTCAAAAGCGGCGCGCGTTCCGCAGGCGGTGACAGTCGCAGAAACAAAAAAGACAGGCGCGGTAACACCAAGGAACTGCAGTTCCTTGTCTGCAAAAGGGCCGGCTCTCGGCGTCGTCTGCTCGTTCGTTGGCAGCAGTTGGCGTCTCGACCGCTTGCGCAATCTCTTGTCTCCCGTGCGAAATTGCGCCGTGTTCTTTGCAAACCGGTGGCTTCGCTGCGTTTCCATAGGAGCTAAGCCTTTTTCTTTCTTTACTTTTTCCTCAGGTAAGTTCGCTCTTTGCAAATTTTACACAAAAAAATGCACCATCTCTGGGCAACGCTGCACAAAGTCGTAGCGCGATAGGTTAAGAAACCGAATTTTCCGGTCGATTTTAAGAGCCTGGCGTCTCCTTGTTTCACCCTGTATATATATATGGTGACATGGAAGAATTGCCTTTGCTTATTAGATAACATTAGGACGTGCATAGATACTCATCTATCTTTTTTAATGGAGTATTCTAATTTAGCCAGGAATAAATAATACTACTGCATTGCGTTTCAGAGTGAAACATTTATTTCATACCATAAAATAAAAAAAAGTTTTTTTTTTAGGGGCGTGCAGTACAGCGAAAAAATCTTGATAAAGAATGTAAGATTGAATACTATTTATAAAAAAAAGTTATGAAACGACATCTGGTTGGAATGTTCATGGCTTTACAGAGGCGTACCCGTCCTAGTCTGGCCCAAATATACTCGCACGAACCGCCACTGATTCAGAAGCTTTGTCGAGGTGAAACTGGGAGGATAAAAGGGGGCAATTTCTTTCAGTCTTGCCTTCGCAAAGCTTTATGACGTAATTGTGGGATCGAAACCACCCGCCTGATGACAGTCGAGTGCAACTCATGAATTGAACGAGAACTGCGTGAACACTCGACTTGGGCTTGTAACAATCAATACCTCGGTGGACACTCGGGTAGCAGCTTGTGTCCAACTACTGCAGTGATGAGAATAGCCGAGCTGCAACAGTGCCTGGAGCTCAGCATGCGTTTTCTACTTTGCTAACCCCAGCGCGTGGCTATGATTAACGTTGGTGGCATATGCAGAGATAAGCACCATGACACGTGGCCGCTTGTTCTGGCTTCGGGTTGAGGGGATATTTCTTTAATTTATTTGCCGCCTGCATTACTTAAAAAAAAAGGCTCGAGATACACCTAAGCACTTCCTATGAGTTGTGAATGCGAAAGCACGCACGCCGCTCTTCACTCCCTTCTTTAATCTGCGGCGTACAACGCCCTGACCTTGGGCGTTTAACGCTGGAGCCGCTGCCTCGCGGACACGCAGCGCCATCGGGTGAACGATCGTTCAAACTGTTGTGTGCCTTGCGGTGCGAGGCAGGAACAGACAGCAACGTAGTTCCCAGCAAAACGAAGCCCTTGGTTTATTCCATGCGCCGTATATTGCCACGCGCCGTTCAACCGATAAGAGGCGAGCGAACTCGGTGATCAGTGATAACATAACAGTGTGATAACACAGTTAGGATGACATCACACAAACTGACGCGCGCCAGTTAATGGGACCGAAGTGTAAAAGATGCCGTTGGCTAGCTTTGCGCGTGGTTTCATTAAGGTGCCGTTTTGCTTGGTTTCAAAGCTG